GGGGAGAATATTGAATATTTAATGGGAGAAATGGAGAATTATTCAGAAGAAAAAGGGGATTTCGTGGAGATTAACGTGTGGTTGCGAAGCTCAAATACCTTTAGGTGAGGTTTGCAAATTGCAATTAAATTGTTATTATTAAATGTTTATTTGTTGTTGTTGTTGTTGCTTCGCCGGCATTATTTATTATCAAGAAAACGATAGGAAAGTGTGAAATTTTGGGGTTGTGTAAATTTTAAAAATATGCACATTTTGTTAGGGATTTTGCCTATTTGTTAAATGTGCATATTTTGTTTGTTATCTCTTTGCCACTTTAACTAGAAGCAAAATATTTTTTTCACGCTTTAGGATAATATTCTGGCGAATCTTTTCATTTCCCGACGCACGCGCAGATGCTTAATGCAAGGATTTTTTGGTCTTTTCAAGTCAAAATAATTACGGGCTCCGTTCTTTTTCTATTTCTTCTCCTATCTCTTGTTTTGCATACATTATGCCAACCTCTCTTGAGGTTGATTCTAATTATAGGGAGATCTTGTTGAATTTCGAAAATTACATACATTTCTATTGGATTTGATATTAGTAGACAATTAACTCATTTGACAGTTGACTCCTCTGAAATTCTTCTTATATTGTTGACTAAATATTGAGTAAATCACATTATCCTTCAAAGTTAAGTCCGATTACATATCTCTTGTATTTGAAAAATATTACAAAGATCTCCCTTAAAAGTTATTTTCACTAAAATTTGAATTTGACTCATTGAATAATATTTTTATTTTTACTAAACCGTCCCAAAATTTCATCCTCAAGAGTTCAAACCGTTTTTGTAATAATCTTAGTTCTTATGAGATAAGTTTTTTTTATTGGAATATACACCATGCTCTCGATATTGGAATACGTACGACATAGGAAAATGTAATAAAAAGACATTACTCCAAAATCAGAAAATTTCAGATCAAAATCGCAAAATGCGAAAATTCCATATTTTGATTAATTCACATATATGATAAAACTACGTAACATTATTGATGTTATAAAATGTCTTTTTTAACAAATAGAAACTTATGGAAATTACGATCGAGTCGATAACCAGATATATTCCAATTCAAATAAAAAAATATTAAAATTTAAAATTTCCAAAATTTAAAGTAGAAAATATTACCCAAAACTAAAATCAAAACCAAAATAAGCTATATTGGGCCTGAATTGGGCCGAAACACCATTTTTGTGGACCATAACGCTTTTATTTCAACGTAAGGAAGTGCGATTTCACTTCTACTCACATAACTGGAGCGCTATTCTTTTTTTATAGGGGAAATTACAGTTTTCACCCCTCAAGTTTGAACCAATTACAGATTTGGTCCTCATATTCACAAAAGATACATTTAATCCCTTATGTTTTAAAAATTCAATATTGTTACTCATTTCCGTCAATTTTCCGTTAAGACTAACGGGATCAAACGTGTGACACCACTGACTTAACTAACGGACTAACAGTAAATTGACGATAATGGCCTAAAGTGTTAAATTATTAAAACATGAGGGACCAATGTGTTTTTTGTGAACAGAAGAGGACCAAATGTGAAATCAATGCAAACTTGAGGGGAAAAAACTGTAATTTCCCCTTTTTTTATCACTTTGATTTTCCCCAAATTAAATTTCAGCTTCTTCATCTTCTTCTGTACAACAAAAAATACACACACTTATTCACACACAAACAAACGCACACACTGCAACTCCGCAAAACCTTCCAAATCGGAGCAGAATGCCTCCCGCAGAAGATTCATCCGTCAATTCGACAACAACGAGAAAGCAGCGCAAGCGTTTCAAACGAAAAGGTATTTCAATTTACCAATTTATACTACTGAACGAGATTCCATGGTTTTTATTTCTCTGTTTTTTTTTTTTTCTTTTTTAATATTTTGTTTGCGCAGTGAGTATCAAGGTGAAAAGGATAGCGGAGAAGACGAAGAAGCGGAAAGAAAAAGCAAACGTTACCCCGCTTGTGACCAAGTACTGGCTTCAAAGGTACGATCTTTTCTCCAAATACGACGTCGGCATCAAATTGGACGAGGAAGGGTGGTTCTCCGTCACCCCGGAGGTAATCGCCGCCTGTCAGGCTGGCCGGTGCGCCGGCGCCGGAGTTGTTATTGATGCCTTTGCCGGCGTTGGGGGGAATGCCATTCAGTTCGCCAAAGTGTGAGTATTAAATATTAATTAACACTGTAAAAGCAATTTACCTCCAGTATATAATTAATTAATTAATTAATTAATTATACTTAGATTAAGATTTTCAATTTAGGTTAAATTACTGATAGTCAGTAATACTACACATCTCTCATTAGCACTTAATTAAACACCATATTCATGTTGCCAGGTGTAGTCGTGTTATTGCCGTTGAAATCGACCCGGAAAAGGTTGCACTGGCAATTCATAACGCTAAAATCTACGGTGTAGAAGATTGTATCGATTTCATCGTCGGAGACTTTTTCCAGCTTGCACCTTTCTTGAAGGTACTGTATTCTTTCTTTCTTCGTTCAGCATTTCTTGGTTTAGAAACGGAAATATAGTGAAATGTAAGTAATGTTTGACAATGTTGGAGATTCTTCGTTGTTTCAACGGACAATGCATCTGGAAAACGGAATGCAGCTGGTTTTAATCTTGAAATGCATATTCATTGCACAATGGTTGCACCGTAGTTGATTTCTCTTCATTTATGTAGTCTTTACATTGACCGAAATTTGATGGCTACTTTGCCGTTAATGGCGCATAACTCGTTTATTCTTCGAGCCTTGATTTACTGACATAATCACGAGTTTAACTCCCTTAGTTTCTGAAGCACTAAAGCTTAAGCCGAGTCCGATGTTTTGACCGTTAGACTGCTGTATCATAAAACTGCATATGCTTATCTTGTTATTGTATAATATGTATTCTTGATGCAAGGAACATTTTATATTAATTCATCCAGTTAATAACTTAATATTAATTTCGTTTCTTTGATGCTCGACTTTTCTAGTGTTTCAGAAATATCATTGTCTTCTATTAATTGAAAAGTCGGGTGACTTTTGTTAGGGTGATGTAGTATTTCTGTCACCACCTTGGGGGGGCCCATCGTATAAGGCGAGGCAAGATTTTACTCTCGACTTACTCAAGCCGAAAGATGGGTACGTATGTCTATGTAGTGAACATAGCTTTTTTCTTCTACCAATCTTTTCCATCGAGCGAAAATCCAATTGACATTTCCTTCTTCATTACTATAAAGGTCAAGAAAGTTAAAAAAATTACTCCTTTTAAATTTTTCGTTTTTGGGTCAAAATTGGAATATGCATCGGCAAACTTTATATGAGTCCTGTTTTACTTATTATATGCAGCCATTCATTGTTTCAAGCTGCTCAGGCAATAACACCTAACGTAATTATGTACTTGCCTCGGAATGTTGATGTGCTCCAAGTTAGCGAGCTTTCGTGGCTGTCTTCTCCTCCGTTGGATATCGAGGTACATTTTTTTTTTCATTTTTTTTTAATAATAATCACAATCAGTTGGTTATTTATTTATTTTGGCGCATAAACCTTTTCTTTAAATTTGCAGGTGGAAGAAAATTATGTGAGGGGCAGATCCAAGGGTATAACAGTCTATTTTGGGGATATTGCTTTCCAATAGATTGGTAAATAGCAAATTAAAAATTGTTACTACGGTGCCCCCCCCCCGCCCCGCCCCAACCCGCAAA